CGAACTCGAGGGCCACTGGGGACGTAAGCTGTACGGGGCGAGTGTAGCTCCACCACCGCCTCCGCCTCATCACCACCCGCGGGCGCCTCTCGTTTTCGCGCCTCAGGACATGAGGCAGATACTCAAGGAGGAACCGGTGCCACGTGCTTGGCCACAGCCCGCGCTCGCCGACAACGGAACGTGAGTATTACCCCTCCTTTCTTTTTTCTTTTTTTCTTTTTTGTTTTCTTTGCTTCTTCTTCCTCCCCTCCCTCGTTTCGCCTACATTTTATCTTCGTATCTCGAGGTAAAAGTGAATCGATCCTGTCGCTAATAACGGAAATTCTCTACTACGCGACAAATTGTAACGTGGGACAAGAGTTTGTTTTGTTTGTTTTCTGTTTCACAAGCACGAGTAATGTACCGTGATATCGCTAAGGATAGATTGAACAATGTTTCGAAGAGAACGTGCGCGTCGTATGTTAAATATTTCGAATCGTTCGCAACGCTGTTAATTTTCTTGGAAATTTGCGTAAAAATTCGGAGAAAAGTATGTATTCGCCATCGCAATGTCGCGATCCGTCGGATAGAGAGTATCGTTTACATTGCGCGGAACGACGAGAGAAAAATATTTACACGAATATTTACGAGGAAAGATAAATTTGACGAACGAATAATAATTTTAAAATGTCCAATTTAGATAGATAGATTTTTCTTATCGTTATTATTAAAGTATGAAACGAAATTTTCAATCCGGGCCAGGAAAATATCGAGAAGAAAAAAGATCGAGCATCCGTCTGAGATAAGAGAATGGAAAAACTCTTTCTTCCCCTCTTTATTTTTCTCTCTTTAAATTCGAAGACACGTCCGAATTATGACGCGTCATCGGGGAGCGACAATGTCTCGTGGTATTTCGTGCCACGCGAACAAATATCCAGTTTATCTTTGGAAACCGAGCGTTTCAAAGCGGTTCACACGTAGCTGCATTTGGCGAACGATAAACCGTGCTTTATTGCAGCCTCGCTTAAGGGATTTGTACGACGTGCAAACGACGAAGGTACAGATACGCGGACTCGAGGAGGTAAACCGAGCGGGTTGGGGGCTCGCTAATCCAATAGCGGTTCTCTTAACTAACCCCTTCCAAGTGGCGTGACACGGGAGTGGGCGACCGGAATCGAGTTAATGTAATTGAGAATTTTAGCGCCTTTTGCTCTCCTCCCCTTCTTTCGCTCGATCGTTTTTCCTCCGGGCTATTCCGCCCTTTCCGCGTCTCAAGGAAAAACCGAAAAATTATCGCGGCTTAACCACGAATTTTATAGCTCCATTTTTTTTTTTTTTTTTCCGTTTTCTTCGATATTTCATCGAATCGATCGAGCCATCTTCGATTGAAAAAAAATAACAGAGACAATTTGTTTCACCGCACGGGTATCGATTCGCAAAGAGAGAGAGAGAGAGAGAAAGAGAGAAAAATAACGAAACAATACGACTGAATTAGATATATTCGTTAAGTGAGGAGTAATCGAATCGAAAATACGGACAATGACTTTGTTGTTTTTAACGTTAATTCGATGCCATCATCCTGCTCGTTGCATCGATGCGCGTAAAATTTCGCGTTAATACAATTTTATACGCGAAACGAACTCGTTGTAAATTAATAAATATCGGTAATACGCGTAACGCGATCGCGTATTTTATTATGAAAAGCGTTTGAAATTTCATTTTACGTTCGATATCTATCCTCGATTACGGCGAATCGGTTAAAAATTGAATAATGGCGAGTGACGCTCTTTCGAATCGGTGCTCGATCGAAACAACAACGGCGCAAGACAAATCGGTTTCCGTTCAAATTTACCGTGGAAAGTTTCATTTCCTTGGCGAAGAGAGAACGGTGTGGCGGTGTACGTCGACTCGAAAAGAGGGGGGGTTGCGAGCGGGGTTGGCGAAACTGTTTTAAAACTCCCAGCGAACGGACATAAACTCTCGCGCTTTTTAAAAACCCCTAAAAAAGTTAGCCACCTAATGAAGCAGTAAACCATCCGTGGTTCCGAGCGAGGGACGAGTTGCGTGGAAAAACAATGACTTTCCCTGCGACTCTAGGGTCGAAAGTAAAAGGAATATACGGACGAAGGGAAAGTTGTAAAGCGATTGTTGCTTTCGCAAATCGGTGAATACGTTTTACGTTTTACCTAAATGTAATCGCGAAACTTTACTCGTATATCTGCAAAGTTACGGAAAATTTTCGTTTTCGCGGAATTAATTCGGAAAGAAAAGTTGTAAAGAGGCGTGTTCGTTCGTGCATGTAATAAAAGCATACATATATACATGTAACAAAAGAGCAGAGCGTGGGTGAACGAATTAATAAATTTTTGTCGGACGAGGCAGTGAAATACGGCATTAAATTGAACAGCATCCGCGGGAACGCGGACTAGTTGCGAATTACATTCGGATATATTACAAATTGCTCATTATCTCCACGCGCATTATGAATCACGTTGGGTGCAAGCGTAAATAGACTGCGCTTCGGCCAACTCGTAATAACTAACGCCCGCTGGTATACATTAACTGCGGATTTATTGTAATTCTCCGCGATTGCTTTATCCACGAATTCGTAACCGTATCCGTGGATTCGTATTATCCGCATATTTCGCCCGTAATGCATTGTGCGCAAATAGCATAGGTTGCGGCTCGCGTGTAAAGTACAGAATATAGCCCGGACGATCATTCGACGATCTGCGCTCGCAAATTGCCAACGCGTCAATATTTACTCCGCGATCGATCGGGCAAAAATTGTTCTACGCAAATCGAGAAAAAGATGCGCCATCTTCTCGTTTCAACGTCCTTCCATGTTTCTTTTTCGAATCTTTTCTTTCTCTTTTTCTTTTTTCTTCTCGATATTTTCGATAAGTTTCCTCCTTACTTACCTCAATGATATTTAAAAAAACAAATTGATCGAACGTGTTAATTCGTTTCATACGAATTATGAATATAGAGAGAGGGAACTCCTAAATTGGGGATCTCGTCCGATGGATCGTGACCGAATTCCTCCTCCTCGTTTTTAACTCGAATCTTTGACTTAGCGTGGGTCCCGCTTCGTTTCGCTTCGATTTCGCGCGCGTATCTCTCTCTCTCTCTCTCTCTCCCGACGAACCGTTTTCCTTAAATCGACATTTTCCTAAGAACGCAGAAAGCGTTGGTAACGTCCCTGCCACCACACCAATGGGCGCAACGATGCAGGGAAAAACTGGTATCGCGCGAAAAGAACACCTATCGCGTCCTACATCTTCATTTGCGTATTTGGCGCGCGGCGAGTATCGGGTTATCTTTGTCGGCCGATCGAACGAATCGCAGAATCGTTACTCGAGCTCGAAAGAAAAGTTACGCGGACAGGGAGTTGCGTTCGGTCGTGCCTCGAGGCCGAGTGCGAATGCAGCGGCACGTTGCGCCCCACCGATCAACGTTATCTGCTATCCGAAAGCGGGCGCGTGGCAAATTGTTCTACGTACCTACCTACCTACCTGCCTGCGAATCCCGGCTGCGGCAATCCCACCTGTAATTATCACCTCCGCGTCGCTCGCTACGGCCTCTCCAACGTTGGTCCACCAGTTACCCGCCACCTTCTTTCTAAGGAAGGACACGCGTGTGCACAAAAATACGTTGGTAGAGGGGAGAACGGGGGAATACGGATTACTTGGTAAGGAAAGCTGTTTAAAAGCAAAGCATGCGTTGTCGGCTTTATTACATTTCTTTTTCCCTTTTCTTTCCCTTTTAAATAAACGATTCGAAGCTGTTTACAAGCTTCTCTCTATTAAACCGATATTTTTAAACGTTTGGTCTTCGTTCGTCAAGGCGGGTGAATTGCTGGCATGATCCCTATTCGGCGCACGAGTGACGCGAAAAATAACCGTTTATAATAAAGGGATATCGACGTAAAGGGATTGTAATCCTTCGTTTTCTTATTTTCTTTGTTTGTGTGTAGATCAATTATATGTTACTTGATCGTTTTGGATATCGTCGACGTTTACGAAGAGAGTAATTGATCGTAGGAAAAATAGCGAAGGGGAGGAGGGGAAATTTTAGACGAATTATCGACAGCGTCGATGCGTAATAAAAGATAAGGGGCGGGGCACAGACATCACTATTATTGTTATTGGAACGTGGACGATCTTGAAACCGCGAAACCGTGGGCCGCCGCAATCCGCAATAGTTTGGAAAAAGGTGCGCGACAGTGTTGCACCGCAGGTGATAATGTAAAGGCTTGGTAGGACGTGGCTACACGTTATATAGGAATTGGTGCATGGCAAACGGGGCAAAATAATCGGACGTCGAGAGTTATGGGGCGCGAACCGGCGGCCGGTTAATCAGCCACCGATAATTATCGACACGGGCAGTACATCACTACCCTCCCAACCTCTCCACCACCCCACTGGCCTCCTTCCCTCCACCAGACCCTCTCTTCTCTCTCTGCATCCGATTCACCACCCTCTTCGCCCTCGAAACACCCGGATCCCGAACCCCTTCTAACCCTCTCCTCCTCCACCTCCACCTCCACCTCCTCCTCCTCCTC